ACCCAACACGCTCAAAAGAACGAGAAAAAAGAAAGCACTGTGGTGAAAGAGATGATATATATGATATCTCTCTGCACAGATCGACTCCTGCTTCCCTTTAAGAAAAGAAGTCTACAGCATATGCAACGACGACCCTGACGCTTCCTCAACGCTCATATATTGACGAATGGACGGTGCGGGATGAACAGGGGCAAATACACCCGTACCATCTTTTTGACATACATAAACGAACGAAAGACAGATCGCGAAGCCTGCCATAACAAAAACCAAAATGGTGTCGTTTTAGCTTCCATGAACAAATTGTGACTGTTTCGTTTATCCCGACTTTGTGGATGTTTTGTTTCTCCCTTCCCTTTTCATCCCAACGGCTCCGGGTATCAGAATGGAGGATGCCGTCTGTGGGGGCTGCAGACTACCATATCTATTGTTTTGTCCTCCAATGCCCTTGGATAATTAATTCCTTCCTCCCTTCCCTTCCTTCTTTTGCTACAACCGGGGGTATTCGAATAAAATAACATAAAATAAAACCCCGAATGCGCTCTTCTCACCTATGTCAGACGCAACATCGCCATTCAACTTGCATTTGTCCAATCCATGTTTACATTCACTTTCCAAACCCCTTCTTCCTACCTTTCTTTTGTTCCGGTGCTGTGCCTCAGATGAAATCTCCTTTCTACTCTTCTTTTCTGTGTTACCCTTTCCCCTTTTTCCTTTTGTCCTCAATATTTTTTGTTTCCCCTTTCATGTCCATCTCCTCACTTCATGGCTTTATTCTTTTCTTTTGGTTTTGCTATTTTCTATTTCTCTCTTGTCAGATATAAAAACCCATGTATTTGTAGTGTTACAGCTAGAATTTAGGTGAAAGGACCTGTGAAAATCGACCCCGAGAAATGAATGTCTCTGCCTGCATTTTACATGGATTTCATGATGCCACACACACACCCACACCAGTAAAAATTGATTGTCTAATGATCATAGAACTTTTAACTATAACCATCGATGGTATCTATCAATGATATGTTTTCATTCCATCTATCTGTCTGTCTATCTATTTATCATCTATCTATATTGCTGTATGTCTATCTATCTGGCTGCCTATCTGCCCAATGTACTATATACAAATATATATAATTCTCTATTTTCATATGGCTGATGTGGAGGCAGTGAGCAATCTGTATATCCTAAAGGATATTCATATCATCAATAGTCACCACTGGATTGTTATATACTTAATCCACTCTTCCTATGTTAGTTAAGTTTAGATAAATACTAGATATATATATACTGGTATATATAGGTAGGAGATGGGGAGTGAGGAATAACACATTCCTGGGACTATTATGATTTGATTGGCCAACTTTTGAGCGTGGAACCCGGAACCCGCCCGCAACCAGCATCCCTCCTAAGAGTCCCATCAGTGGTTCAATTCAGCAGTGTGAGGGAAAGGGTTGAAAATTGTGTGTTGGTTGGTTCAATTTCGGTGCCAGAGTATAAATAAGACCCCCAGACTTCTCCAGCTCCGAGGATATATCCATCTTATTTATCTATCATATTACTTCCTCCAAGACAA